GCACATCTAAGGGTGTATGGAGTTTACTAGTTTCTGAAACTGATATTTTTCTTTTCTTTTCTTTTCAATGTGCCTTCTGGTAGATAAAAATGCAAAAGAGCCACTGAGTTTCACTCACTGAATGGCCTTGCATTGCTGATTTGAAGAATCTTGCTACATTCTGACATTTCGTATTTATCTATTCTTTCATGCCTTTCCTAGAAATCAACCTGAATTAATACAAAACTCAAGTATTCACATTCCATGCAGTCCTAATATGCAAGCTATTGGAACTAGTGCCTTGTTACTTTATGACTCAGAACAGAACCAAGGATTTTAGCTCAGTCTTTCCTAAAAGACTAGGAAAGTAACTTTAGATTAACTGTGTTCTGAAACTTAATTAGCTTCAGGAGAGCTGTACACTCTTCAGATTCATTTTGAACTGAGTATTTTACATATGATTGTAAGCTTTATTCTGGACAAGTATTTTTAATTTGGAAGACATGGAGAGGAACCAATTCTGAAAGAATTCTAATGTTTAATTTCAACTTCAGTAATTGTGACGAGAATTTTCATTTGTTTGAAGGTGACTATATTGGTGTGTCATTTTTAAGAAGGTTGGGCTGAAAGAACCAAAATGTCTGTATCCACAGGCTTTATGTATTTCTGAGGAATAAAATCTCTCACATTCTCCTCCCCCACCCGCAAATTATTTCCAGTGGCTACAAGAATTGAAAGTATCTGCCTTCCTACAATTACAGAACACAGTTTTAACATTCTTCAGGATTATCTCAGTAGATTGAAGCATGATTATTACTATTTCTCATCAAAGAATAAACTAGGCTTAAATTCCTAATCAGAAGTGAGATAACTTAGATCACATCTTAAGCTGCAATGTGTAAATATTCTTTTTATTACATAATGCAATCTTATTCTCTATAAAGTATATATTTTACTGTTATAAAACACATTTTAAGTTAATCAGATAAATTTATCGCAAATAATAAGGGTTTGCTAAATCTCTTTGGCAAACAACAAATCTCAGGGATCTCAAAGTAGGGTTCTGTTTGCCTAATAGATTTTGTTTCCCTCTAAAGTTCGTTCCTGTTTCACAATTGCTATATCTTGAAAAAGTTGGCAGATCAGAATCCCTGTAGAGCAGCATTCTGTGAAAAACAAAACAATGTCTGTGACTGAGGCTAGGTTTAAATTGTTTCCTTCCCTCCAAAATTACCCCTAGAATGTTTGACTTCAGTACTGATTTAGAAGCCAAACATTTTTTCAATGGTGTGCCCCAAATGTATTAGGACAATGTAGTTGATAAAAGTGAAGAGACCATTGCTTAGTTCTTCAGTATCTGCAGGTCTGCTAATCCTACAGAATTCAGCAGTCTAACAATAGCTGCACTGGTAGACGGAGTACCCAGTACTCAGAAGGTAAGATTCCTTTAGAATCATGGCCTTTTAAAGTAGGAAAACTCAAGCCAGTTTAGATGCTTTATTAGCTTTATTCTTTATTAGCTCAGTAGATTTCTCAGCTTTATCCAACTGGACTCCATCCCAGTTACCATTCTGCTCTCGACTCTGAGCAGTTTGGCACTTAGAAAATAAGGTCTTGATGCTTCCTTGGTTTGAGGAATGGATTTCATGGATCCTGATCATAATAAGCACTCGGTATGAAGGGGAAAAAATGCAAACCAAAGCAGTTTGGTTTACTGCTGTAATCATGTTGTCAAAGCATGTAATTTCTCGCGGCATATCCGTATTAATGTGGATGAGGACTAAACATCTTCTGTTCAGATTGCTTGTCTTGCTACACCACTTTTCAAACTTTGTGCCTACTAAAATGTTAAGTATCCAATTTTTAAATTACTACTTTTTTTTTAAAGTAAAGTAATAATTTGAGATACAGTTTTTTTAAAAAAAAGATTAAGCTTTTGTTTTAATCAGGTTACTAAAGTTCGAAGTTCTGAAGTTTATGGCACTAAAAGAACCAAGTGTACCTCAAATAAAAGTGCTACAATGTGATTGAATCAATACAATTCTGTTTAATAAAGATGAACATAGAAATTGATGAGGTTGTATCTGTAGAGCAGCAGTGGGCAATATAGGCCTCTGGATTTGTTGGGTTCAAATCACATCAGTGCTAGGCAGCATGTCCAGTAGTGAAGGATGATGGGAATTGGAATCCAGCTATTTCTGGAGAGCCACATGTTACCTCTGCCTTCAAAGTTGCTTTCTGACTCTACCCATGAGTTGTAATAATTTCAGATGGATACTTGACAAATTGATCTAAATTTCCTAAAATCTGTCTGAAGAGATTATAGAGGGACAAACTCAAATTTTCAAATGAAAGATTTGAAATTTCTGGTTTCTCAATTCTGGTAAAATCCATGTTTAGTTCATGAAAAATAAGTTGACCATTCTATTGCAAAATTAGTGTTAAGGCCGAGTCTAAAACATTATTTGGGCTATTTGCCAAGTCATAATTTCAGGCTGAATTTTTCACTGTAATGTGCAATATGAATTTTTCTAGCCTAATGTGGCATTGTTACAAAATGTATTTAATAGTGTGGGGGTTAAGATTGATTTTTAAAAAAGAATGTTCTGGAAATTGTAAAGATTTAAAAATGAATAAATTTTACATATAATTTGTATTAAAGGATTATTTCTTAACTTGTTGGTGTCTGGTCATCTCTGAATAGTTATAGATACTAAAATGTTCTAAATTATATTGCATGGAAAAGGAATTTATTTTCCAGATTAATGGATAAACTTTACTACAGCCATTAAATACTTGAAGCCCTCATAAGAGAACTACTTGAGTCTCCCCAGTTTTGTCCTCTTGAACATGCTTTTTCCTTTAAACAAGAATCCAGTGAATCTATCAGAGGCCTAAAACAAATTTAGTGAGGTTTAAGGACAATCAAATCTTATATCTTTGATTTTTCACATCATAATTTAAGAACAGTATATAATATATATAAAAACTTGTGAAGGGAAGACATGCCAGCTATATTCTCATTTTTCTGCGGTAAGATTGATAGGGGAGTGTGTTAATCTTAGACTTACAAGCCAAAAGCTAGCATATGTTCAAGAGTTGTGATTTTTTTATATTTAAATTTAAAAGAAGGTATCATATTTTAAGGATCAGAATTGTGAGAGACATAAGTACTTTAAAAGTACAAAGCTTTTTAGCTAGTGTTTAACATATGCAGGATTGTGACTTAAATATTAACTGACAGTATGAAAGCTGCTGTTAAGGGCGGTTCATATATTCTGCTTCAGAAGACTGGGTAATGTGCATTCAGTGGGAGGAATCCCACTTGCCAGTTTATTAATATCCAAGCCTCTGGAATAGCTGAGAGGAAGACCAAAAGGAGGAGAAACCCTGTCTTTTTCAAATCTGACAAGCGGCATTGGATTTGGTTCATTGTTTACATATGTGTGAGTTAGTCAAATATCTTGTTTACTACTTTTGTGCCTTGTAGGTGTGATTCATTACCACTAGAGGGCATCCTGGCTGCATTGAATTTTAGGAAAGTCAAATACTGAAAACATTTTGATCAATACATAAAAGAACCAATTGACCAATCTTTGATTGAACAAGGATGATAGAGAAACTGTCGATACTACAGCTGTGTGCAAATTACCCATAGTGTAATCTGTCATATGTAGTCAGAAAATTAGGGGACCACTTATTAAATTTCTGGGGGAGGGTAGTAATTGGAGCAGTAAATTCCTCCAGAAAAGAGAGAAATTCTTCCCCTATTTCCTCAGAATGAAGCATACTATTACCAGTGTTGTTATCACAAGCTTGGTTTTTCCCTGTTGCAGCAAATGGTATGTGGACCAATTGGACTGGTAGATTGGCTACCACTCTGCATTCTTCATACTGACAAATTTTCTCCCTCTCTTTCAAACAGTAGGACTGGGAGACAACTAATGAAGCTGTATGGAAGGC